AGACATAGCACATGGTGTAGAACAGAGTACAAGTTTATCAACAATGGTTATCAACGTTGTCCCTTGTTTCCTTAAAAAGAATTGTCTATCTTATTAGATATTATAAAGTTGAACAAAACAGTAGAGAACAAGACCAATAAAACTTAGGCATTGTAAACATTACAGGACTTCCAGAGAAGACAATAGTCAAACCAGAATGGGTATCTTAGTGAATCTTATTGTCTTCAAAGTAGTTGCCTATTTCTTCAAACTTGATACTATCATATAGAATGGAACAGAGTCTAATCAGTCAAAACAAGATCGTGGGAGTACTACAGGACTTCAAAACAAGTTAATAGGAAATCGAAAAGAGTTACTATTTATATATCCTAATTTTTTTGAATTTTTTCTTTAATTAAGACAAACAAGAAATGACTAAATAATTTTTTTTGAAACAATAAGGGGGAGATTGAGATAAAACAGGACATAACAATATAACAATAGAGGTCACAGCATGACTGTTTCAACAACCTAGTACTTCACCACCTTATAAAAATTTCACTCATTTTAATGGCTGGATAATATTCCATTTTATTTATTCATTCATCCATTGATGGCTGCTTCCATATTTTGGCTATTGTGCAATAAAATATAGAAAGGAAATTTCTGTTTAACATATTAATTTCAATTTCTTTAGATATATATCCAATAGTGGGATTGCTGGATCATACAATGGTTCTATTTATAGTTTTTAAATGAATTTCCACATTGCTTACAATAATGACTATATTAATTTACATTCCCATTAACAGCATCTCAGAGTTTCTCTTTAGCTTAATCCTTGCCAGCAATTTTTTTGTCTTTTTTCTTAACAACCATTCCAGCTGGGGTGATATAATGTCTCATGGTGATTTTCGATTTGTAATTCTCTCATGTTTAGTGATGCTGAGCATTTTTTCATCTTTTTACTGGCCCATTTTTATTTCCTCTTTTGACAACTGGTTGTTCTGTTTCTCTCTCTCTCTCTCTCTCTCTCTCTCTCTCTCTCTCTCTCTCTCTCTCTCTGAGATAGTGTTCACTGTGTATTTCAGGCTGGCTTTGAATTCACTGTGAAGCCCAGGCTGACCTTGATCTCATGGTGACTCTTCTGCTTTGGTCACTTGAACACTGGAATTATAGGTGTGCATCACCACAATTTGCCCATCCATTGTTAATGGGAGGAATTTTTTAAAAATGTATTTTTCAGTTCTGAAGCTTTCATATTTTTCTCTTTTATATTTCCTGTGTCTATTCCCAGATTTTATACTTTTTATTTCTTTCAAATATGCACATACCTGGTTGCTAAACATCTTTATGGTGCCTGCTTTAAATCCTGTCAGATAATTCCAGCCCGGGTTTCAGCTCCTTGCCAGCATTTGTAGGCTGCCTTTTCTACTTCATGTTGAGATTTTCCTCATTCTTGGTACGATAAGTGACTTCAAGTGTATCCTGACATTTGCGGTACAAGGTTGTGAGACTGTTTCTTCTTCAACCTGCTTGTTTATTTTTACTGTTTATTTTCATTTCTTATTGTGGTTGTTCAGGTTTCATCCTGTTCAATGTAGCAATTATAGCCCATCACACTTTTGAAATCTCATTTGAACAGTTGTTTGCTTTTCTATACAAAAAAACCCCTTCTGTGAGGACCCATGCACTTGGGCTAGCTTCAAAGTCCACTTTAAAATTAGGAAAACTGGGAAACTAACATTTGTGTGTTCACTGGTTTCATTTAACATTTCCTCTTTTTTTTTGAGATTTAAAATACTGTATTATTTATCTTCTTTTACTTAAGGCTCCCCCAGGTTGTTTTAATCTGTCTAGTTCAGCTATATTCTCAGCTGTTACTTAAAACATAGGTGTTTAGCTTTTTAAAAATACTGCCATAAATCTCCCTCAGATGTGAAGCTGTGCGGTGCCCCAAGGCTCTCCCCAGGCCTTCGCTCCCAGCCCACCTGAGCTGCCAGCTGCCCCTGGGTCGCCCTTCTCCATGGTAGGAAGCTCGTTCTCCCTCACAGCTCCTGCAGCGCCTTCCAGGAGGCGGTGTGTGCTGCTGCTGCTCTTGAGAGGGATGTAATAGCTTCTAAAGAGTGGGCAAAATTGCTTTTGCACACTGTGGAATTATTCAGCTGTCAGAAACAAACAGTAAAATCCAAATTAAACAACTTGCCCACCTATACCTCAGCTCTAGGCCCTGGAGAAGAAAGGTCCCTGGGCCTCTGGAAAAGAGGGAGGAGGACAGGGAATTAGAGTGAGGAGATGGCCTGTGGGGTGGGGACTCACACTGGAGGACCCAGAGGCCCCTGAAAAATTCTAAACCTGAATGATTACGGAGAATGTGAGAAAGTGAGACAAACACAGGCACAAGAGGAGAACAGGGCAGGAGGGTGGGCAGTGAGGACAACTGGTGATTCTGCAGGTGTGAAGAGAAAAATAATAACTGTTGTACTTGAAAGTGAAGACGCTAACTACTGTGTGGTAAGAATAGTTAACAAACAACCTATCTCTTTTGCTTTCTTAATTTTAAAGTGGAAAGTGAAGTTACCCACAGTGCCTTCTGTTCTTCTGGAAGAGGCTATATTTTAAAAAAATTTAACACCCAAACAGGAGTTTTAACAGTATGGTATATTTTAATTGTTTTCATTTACAAATTAATACTTTTACCATTATAAAAAAAGGACAATGTAATTATGTTTCTCAGTAAGAAATGTCCGAATTCTCTTCTTTAAAAAATTAAAATCTGTGATGCAGTGTCCTCTGTTTGTAGCAGAGGGTGAGCAGTCCCTTCCCTCAGACCTCACTGTGTAGCCTTCGCACTGAGTCCGTGGCCCCGCAGGCCGCGCAGGTCTCCATCGTGGGAAGCGTGGGCGAGGAGCCTCTCCTCCCAAGTAATTGGCCTCCCAGGTGCAGCGTTGAGCAAGGGGAGCCTGCTCCCCACTGTGACTCATGTGGGAACTTGCTTCGGTTGGCTTCCCTCCTCAGGCAGATCAGACACCTGCGGGTGGCCTAGTGCATGTGCAAATAGAGGTCCTCTGGATTTGGCACACCACACAAACCTGTTCACAGGCTGGCTATATGGTGCGGTGGAAAGGAGGTAGGAGTACCAGAGAAGACAATCAAGTTCCATGAGCAGGAATGAGGGTCTGGGCACCTAAGGAGCTGAGGGAAGGAGGCCTCTGATCAGGGCAGGCCCTGCTAGGCTGGTGCCTTGGAGATGGGTGTGTAATTGTGTGCACACAGTGTGTCTTCAAGTTTATACAATAGCTGCCAGTGTCGCCATCCCTGTACCTTCTGCCTCCTGTGGTGGCTTCTTCCACAGTGTCTCAAAGCTGGCCGCTCTAACCTCCCAGGTAACTTTCTGGTCCCTGCCCATTCTCCCATCTTGTTTCTGTTTGTGGATTTGGTTATTTGGTTAAGAATCTCTGACAAAAATATGTTTCTTTATCCTCAACCCCAAATTTTTTTCAGCAGCGATCTCTCTGCCAGTTAGTGAGGGACTCTTTAGACCTCAACGCCTCTGTCTTCCCTCTTATCAAACCCCATCTTCAGGAGATCTGATAAAACCATTTGCACTGAGGAACACGATTGTCACATTCCCCCTCAATGTGTCTGCATCTTAACAAGCCTTGAAGGTTTTTGTCAAATACAACATCTAAGTGCGTAATTTCATGCATCTACAGAAAGGGAGACCCTCTATGGAGGGCTTTGTAGGAAGAAAATCAGCACAGGTTCAGAATTTTAACTAAACTACCAAATACAGATAATACCTACACAAAGAAGAATTTCAGGTTTAAAATGAGAGAGTGCCTCTACCCAGCCCAATGCCACACAGAATTTACCTTGGTAAATGTCACCTGCTGTTGCAGTAGCTGTTGTTAGTACTTGGTGTTGCTGTTATACAAAGTGCTGGGATAGCCAGCAGAGAGACCAAAGGTACAATAGCAATACAGGTATCCAGACTCCAGGAGCTCAACCTAAAGGAATGTTATTTGCATCTGGACAGCTTGGTTTACCTTCCCCAAAATAATATCATGCTTTCTCATATTGTGGCTCAACACACTCTCCAGACCCCACCCACCCACTCAGTTTTGAACCTCCCACTAAGCTACATTCTCAGCCCTTATTTCTGTTTTTTATCTTGAAGGAGAAGTTTCCCAGGCTGGATCCAAGCCTGTGGTCTTCCTGCCTCAGTCTCACAGAGTGCTGGAATTACACATGCCATCCAACACACCTGACTCTCAACTTTCTTATCCTCCCTCTAACCTCTTCTTACATTGTCTCCAAGAAACTCGATGAGTCCAAGAACTTGCCCAAAGTGCACTCCCAGACTGGAACAGATTTTTTTAAATCAATGTGACTGAAAGTATGTGTATCACAGCAAAACACACTAAAAAAAGCAAAAACAAAAGCACATCCATACCAAGCTTCAGTTAGAGGAAAACTTATGATTTCAAAAGAAAAACACTTCTAATTTTTAAAAATTCAAAACGTACATTTGAGTTTAAATTCAGAAAATATAAGCCAGGTGTGGTGGCTCACACCTGTAATCCTAGTACTCAGGAAACTAAAGCAGTGAATTCGAGGCCAGCCTAAGCTACCTAGCAAGTTCCAGGCTAACCTGAGATGTGAAGAAACTCTATCTAAGAAAAGAATAGAACAAAGAAAACAAAAGACAGCAAAATAACAAAAAAAAAGTCACTGCAAATACAATGTAATAGAAATTCATCAAAAATACTTCATAAAAGTGAGCTTTTATTCTTACTGTCATATTAGAAGTCATATACCAGCCTCTCTCTCTCTCTCTCTCTCTCTCTCTCTCTCTCTCTCTCTCTCTCTCTGTGTGTGTGTGTGTGTGTGTGTGTTATGGCGTGGTTAGTAGAGGGATACTCAGCATAAGTAGACTGAAAAGTTCCATGTTGCAGGATAGCCTCCATAAAAGTGAAGACTTAATTAATTCAAGAGCACACCTGTCATTTTAATTACAGTTCTGTCAAGAAATTTTAGTGGCTGTGAGAGATGTGGAAGTAGAATTGCATTTCACCTTCCCTGGCACATTGGAGGACGAACTTTGCTGCACCGATTTGACCTCTCTCTGCCTCTCTCCGGGACCTGGTACCAGAAGCCAGGATTCTAATTAAAGTGAGTGGCTCTTTTTCTTGCTTATTTCACAGTTTTGTCATTGTAAATGAAATCTATTTTACCATCTAATGGTTAACTGGTGGTTGTTGATATATACATATACCCTACATTTCCATGGCTCATGTGGGCAACCCAAGATCTGAGCTTCTCCTAAAGGTCTTCCTACTTTCTGTCCCCTTAAAGATGGAAAAGTGATTGTGACATTGACAGTAAGGCCGCAGGAACAGGCCTTGCGAGTGTAGGCAGAGGCTTCTAGTCCTTCAGTGTGGCAGTGGAGAGGCCCTGGAACTTCAGCATTCTGTGACTAGGGAGTGGTGACAGTGGGGTCTTCACTCTGGAAGCTCCTATTCCAAATACAGATGCATGTGTGGTGATTCATGTCACCAGACAGGGTCTGAGGAGATTCCTCTGAAGAGGTCGTGGGGCCCTCAACTCACCCCCACTACACACACAGGTAAGTGTAGGTCCACTGATGCCCATCACAGAAAAATAATTTTCAGGATGTAACAGTGAGAGGCACAGAGAAGTTTATCAGGCAGAATTTAAAGTACACACTTGGAGAAAATAAAGTACAAGCCCTCAAGAGAGAGGCACGTTTTGAACTGGAGCTAGGTGTGCTGAAATGGTCTTGGCCGTCTCTTCAAGATGGAGGCTCTTCCACCTGTCTGCAGGGGCCCCGAGGGGCTGGCTGTGGTGATGCAAGCCATTTACATGTGTGAAGTTAAGTCCTGCTGCCAACGGTACTGCTGATTTCTGGGGAGGAAGGTCTGTGAGAGGAAGGGCAGTTTGCAGGTAATAGATACAGACCCAGAGCCCAATTAACATATTTGTTTAAAATCCTTCATAATATTTCCTTTCTTTCGTTTTTCTTTTTTTAAATTTTTATTTAAAGAAAGAAAAAAAAAACAGAAAAAGGGTAGAAATAATACATAATTTCAAAGAAAAAATAAACAGTAAGAAATCACTAGTTGATGATTACATATTGTCCTCTTACAAATAGTTGTTCAAGATACAAAAGTGAAGCATACAAAGTGAGCATTCAAACAGTGAGACTGCAAACAATTGTGTTCAATGATCCAACAAAAACTTAGTAATATGGTTATCAATCCTATACTCTTAAACATACATGCATTTATCCTTATCTTCATGTATGTTAAGATTAAATAAAACAAAGCAGGCTAAAATCACTCTGAACACAGAATAATACTATTGCTGGACTTCACATCATGACACTATCGGATCAGCACTGGGTACTTTAGTGTCTCTTTTTCTTCAAAGTAGTTGTTCATTTCATCATGCATTATAAGATCAGTTCTCATAAACTGTTTACAGGTTCTACGCATGCATGAGTCTCTACATGTATTTCTATCATTTCTATATTAGAGGGAGAAACAAAATAAAGCAAGACAAAACAAAACATATTCCTATAAACACATGAAACAAAAAAGTCATATAAAACCACAGTACAAAGTGTTCTATAATGGTTACTGTGTTGTTTCTTGTTATCTTCAATAGAATTGTCTATATCATCAACCATAGTATAATTGAATATATCAGTACATAACAATAAAAACAAAACATTGTAGATAATGCAAAACTTCAAAAACAGGTAATAATCAAACTAGAATGGGTATCCTAAACAATCTGGTCATCTTCAGTGTAGTTGCCTATACTCTCAGACTTGATACTATCATCATGACAGATTTGAATAAAATCTGTCACTACCAAACAGCAATCTAACAAACCAGATTCAACTAAAATTAGTCATGGTAAAACAGTATAAGCTATACAGGACTTCAGATTAAGTTAATAGGAAATTAAGGATGAATACCATATTATATCCTGCTATTTTTGGGACAGCTGTTTGTGCCCTCCGATCTAGTGCAAGTAGACAAACTGGGACAGAATATAATCTATCTAAATAGAGTGATGTGAGTAATGTGGGTTTTAAATCCTGATACACTATTAACAATATCCTCTGCCTTCTTTTTTTAGACTTTTCCTCCCCTTTCACTCTCACAGGGTACACTGTGCATTTTTGGGTCCCACCAACTTCCTAAGTTTTTAGATTACGGGGGGCAACCTGCTACTTATCTAAGTGGTTCCAAACCTTCTCCCTCCTGGACTTGATCTCAAGTTGTATTCTTTTACCTACAAAACTTATCTTTCCAACCTATCTGCAGGTGCTGGTCGAGTTGCCCCTATTACTCTCTGGTCCCTGTCATATAAAGCATTGTTCTCTCATGTTTGATTTTCAGTCCATAAACCCTTTTTCAGGTTGATTATATTTCTTATATAGAGCATCTCGGTGGACCCTATCTCCTGATCTATTCTGCCTGTGTTTCGTTCCTTTTCTTCTTTTTTTTTTAGTCTATCAAACCCATCTATATTAGAGATTATAGCCAACCTTCTGCCTCATTTCTGCTATGCTATTTTTATGCCATTAGGTGTCTGCTTTTGTCTTTCATTCCATTTTCTGCTCCATTCATTGAGGCCTCTCTGCCACTGTTCCTGAAATCCTGGTACTTTTTTCTCTCTCTAGAATGTCCTTTAGTATTCTCTGTCGGTTTGGATTGGTGGTTGTGAATTTCTCCAGTTCCTCTTTGTCTTGGAAGCTTTATTTCTCCATTAATTTCTAGAGACAGTTTTTCAGGGTACCTCAATCTGGGTTGGAGTTTTGTTTTTTTTTTTCAGGGCTTGGAATACTTCACTCCAAGCTCTTCTTGATTTGAAGTTACCGTGATTTTGATGGGTTTTCCTTTATAGGTGATCTGTTTCTTTTTCTCTGATGGCTTTTAATATTCTGTTCTTATATTGAATTTCTAGGATCTTGATTATTATATGTCTGGGTGTAGCTCTGTTTTGGTTGTAGATGGCTGGAGTTCTGTATGCCTCATACATCTGAATATCATTTCCTTTTCCTATGCTTAGGAAGTTTTCCTTAATTATTTCTGTGACTAGCTTTTGTATTTTCTTTGTTTTTACTCCTGCTTCTTCATTCACATTCTTTATTCTTAAGTTATAGATTCTCTTGTTGTCTTCTAGCTTTTGTATTATTGCTGCCTATTTCCTTGTTATTTTTAAGAAATTTTTCCTTTCATGATCACACATTGCAAACCTGTCTTCAAGTTTTGATACTCTATCTTTAGTTTCTTTCAAGCAGTTTTGCCAGCTTTTAATGGAGTTTTTTATTTCCTGGTAATCTCTTTGAACTTGCTTCATGTATTCTAGGTTTTCTTTATATTTTCTTTATATTCTTCATCCTTTTTTGTGTGTTCCTCCATTCTTCCATCTGTGTTTTCTTGAGAGGTGCTTAGCAGTTCTTTTAATAATCTTCTTATACCTTGTTTTACTTGGTTAAATATTTTACTTTTGAGCTTGTCTATGAGGTCCTGAAGATATCTCTTTATGTCCACTGATTCCACGTCTGATATTGCATGTTTGCTATCCTCAATCTCTCTTGTATTTACCTCTCCTGGATCAATGTTCTCAGGGTTGGGGCTGGGGATTTTTTCTTGTTTCTTTCTCTTGTTATGTTTTTGGATTCTTCCATAGAGGTATATCCAGGTGGTCCCAACCTCTTTCCTTGTTGGTTATGGTTCTTCTGAAGCATGCTGGTTAAGGATTTCTGTCCTCTCCAATTTGCTATTGGTTCTGAGGTGCAAACAGAGGCAGCATATGCTGGCCTCTCCCATCCGGGTCAGTCAACTTGTGGTGTCCTTCAGTGTGTTAGTGTGCGCAGCAAGTGCAGAATTGGTTTGGGGTGACTTAGTGGATCCCAGCCAGGGGCCTGACCCAGGCCAAGTAGATCCCACCAATCTGGTCTGGGAAGGAAACAACTGACTGAGGTCACTGCTGTTCCTTGTTTCTGCCAGTTCTGCCTGATTCCAACATGTCGTCCAGTTGGTGGCCCCTTTCCTGTGGGAGGGTCTGATTCCCAGCACTCACTGTGGGTCAATGCAGGGTCCCTGCCGGCTCCATTCTCCATTGGGCTCTCAGGCCTTTGATCTCAGCACGACTGCAGTTCCAGCGATTTGCAGCTGCAGGAGTTCAGGCAGCTTGGTTGCAGCGGCAGGAGTGCAAGTTTGAGCACTGTGGTGAGAGCACTGTGACTGCTAATCTTGGCTGCTCCAGTGGTAGCCCAGAGACTGCACGTTTGACTGATTCTTTTCCCTTTAGTTTCTTCCTAGGTCTAGAGGATCCATCTCCCTCTGTCTGGACCTCCCCACAATGTTTTATTCTGGCATCTGAGCTGTCTGTCTCAAGGAGCCTCTGTATTCTGCTGCTTATCTATCCGCCATCTTTAGCTCCTCCCCTCTTTTTCATTCTTTTCTTTATTTTTTGGAATAAGTTTCCTGGAAGAGAAAAAAGGCTTGAGTAGCTTTTGGGTCTAGAAGCTACAGTTTTTCTTAAAAGTATAATTTTAAAACTACGAGTATCTCCTTGCTGCCTATCTTTTGTTTCTTCATTCTACGACTCAGCTGGGATTGTTACTGTGTAGGCAGCCTCAGGGTCTAGTTTCTGTCCTCTCACAAACTCTGTAAACTAGCTAATAAGTTTAATATGTTCATTTTTAAAAATCTGAACCAATTCCAGAACCTTCTTTTGTTTTCTGGATTGTGAAGTAGCAGTTAAAAATAACTCAATAAGTTACAGTCATGCACATGGAGTGTCCAAGACACCATTATGTGATACAAGGAAAGTACAGAATCACAAAACAAAATGCTGTATTTGTTTACATGTGTGTATATTTGGAAATGCAAAGGAAACTTCTGGGAGAAAACACCCTCAACTCATCATAGTGGCAGCCTCTGGGGAGGGGCCCAAATGAGGAGGAACCCACGCAGACTTTATCCCCTTTTACCTTACACAGTTTCGCTTGAATTTTTACATGCAGAATGCTTTCAATTACTGCTTTTGTACTCAATATAGAAAAACAAAATAAGCAGCAATAAGAAAGTCAGTGGGCTAGAATTAAGCAGAGACCGGAAGTCTCCAGC